GTCCACCAAAATTATTAAAACTAGCCAATCCCCAAATTGATTACCCGGTCATGCCTTGCCCTTCCTGTGGAAACTCCAGTAAAGGCCATGGTCTAAGTTTTCTTGTAACTCCTGCCCTTTCAGCCTCCTGACCAACACTGGTGACGTCCCCTGTGGCCCTATGTGGCATATGGTGACCCCCTATCGTGGACCTGTGATTATAATAAACTTCTTTCTTCTAAGCTGCTTTCTCATTTTCTCCTGTGGTCACGCCAACTTTATTATACCATATCCAATATTTACATTCCTGGAACAATATGTTTACAAGGTTTCTGTTTGAAGTGTAGCCTTACAATATTACCTCTAAGTAGACTGTGAAAAATTAAATACCTATAATTCCTTCAGCAATGGTTCTCAATATGGAGTGATTTTGCCCGTAGGGTACATTGGCAATGTCTGGGGACATTTTACGATTGTCATAACAGAAGCAGGGTACTACTGGCATCTAGTGGGTATAAGCCAGAGTTACTGTTAAACATCCTACAATGCACAGAACAGCTTCCCACACCAAAGAATTGTCCTGCCCAAAATGTAAGCCATGCTGATGTTGAGAAACTCTGCCTAAAGCAACCACAAAATTATATAAAATGTTACAGCTAAAAAGCCAACAGAAATATTAAAATTCAATTAGGAAGATTTAAATAATTAAAAAGGTGGTTGAAAAGATGATACAGGAATAAAAACTAGGAAGGGGAAACAGAAAACAAATAATAGGTAGACTCAACTTCAATCAGATTAAATTATATAAAATGTAAAGGAACTAAACATTCCAATTAAAAGGCAGAGATTATCAGAGTGGGTTAAAAGCATGACTCAATTATGTGATCTCTGTAAGAAATGTCTTTTGAATACAAAGACGTGGACAGCAAATGGATTAAAAAAGATTTACTATGCAAAAAAATAAGTATTAAAATGATGGAGTGGATATAATAATATTAAATATAAAAATAAATTTCAACACATAGAATGCTGTTAGAGATAGAGGAACAAACATTTCATAATGAAAAAAAGCTCAATTTTTCAGGAAGACATATTAATCATAAATGTGTATGTACATAATAACAGACTCCCAAAATACATGAAGCAAAAAATAATAAAATTAAAGAGGCAAGAAGAAAACCCCATGATTATAGTAGATTTCAACATTCCTTTCTCAATAACCAATAAAAAGCTAGACAAAAATCAGTAAAAATACAGATAACCTAAACAATGCTGTCAAACATAATGAACTAATTGATATTTATAGAAAACTACATACAAAATTATTTTCCAATGAACATGATCATTCACAAAGATGTACTACCATTCAATCAGTAAAAGAAGTCTCAATATATTTATAAAGATTAAAATCAAGGCTGTATGTTCCCTAAATTAAAATTGAATAATATTAAAATCTTAAGAAAACTCAAAATATTTGGAAATTAGCCAGTACAACTTCTAAAGTATTCATGGTTCAAAGAAGAAATCACAAGAAAAATTAGAGACTACTTCTTTTTTTTTTTTAAAGATTTTATTTATTTGACAGAGAGAGACACAGCGAGAGAGGGAACACAAGCAGGGGGAGTGGGAGAGGGAGAAGCAGGCTTCCCACAGAGCAGGGAGCCCGATGCGGGGCTCGATCCCAGGACCCTGGGACCATGACCTGAGCCGAAGGCAGACGTTTAATGACTGAGCCACCCAGGCGCCCCTAGAGACTACTTCGTGCTGAATGATAATAGAAGCACAACATATCAAAATCTGTGAGATCCAGTAAAGGCAGTCCTTAGAAGAAAATTTAGAGCTTTAAATATTCATATCAGAAAAGAAGAAAGGCCAAGGGGCGCCTGGGTGGCTCAGTTGGTTAAGAAAAGAAGAAAGGCCTAAAATTGATGCCCTTGGGTTTCAAATTAAGAAGTTAAAAAAAAAAAAAAGAAAAGTAAACCAAAAGTAAGTAGGAGAATGGGAAAAATTAATAAATCAAAGAGCAGAAATCAACAAAATAAAAATCAAATGATAGTGAAAATTAACAAAATGAAAAGCATGTTCTTGTAAACCAAAAATATTGACAGGTCCATTGACAGAAAAAGAGAAAACACAAAGCACCAAAATCAGGAAAGAAAAGGGATATCACTAAATATCTTATACACATTAATGGGGTAAAAATGGAATGTTACTGACAAATTTACACTTTCAAATACAACAATGTCAGTAAATGTAATGAATTCCTTGAAAAATAAAATTTACCAAAATTAATACAAAATCAAAGAATTATGAAATAACCCAATGTTTATAAAACATTGCAAATGTGAAATAATAGACCAATATCTCTCATGAACATAGACACAAAACTCCTTAATAAAATATTAGCACACTGAATCCAACAATGTGTAAAAAAAACAAAACATCATGACTAAATGTGTTTATCTTAACAATGCAAGGTTGATTTAATATTTGAGAATCCTAGTAAAAATAGGATTTTTTTTAATTAAGCAAGGTGAAGAAAAGTAAATATGCATAAATAAACATAAATTCTTTTTAAAAAATCTTAAAAAGAACAGAGGAGTAACTATCAGATATTAAAACATAATAAAATATAATAATGGAAACCACTTTGTACTTTAATAAACAGATAAATGGAATGGTGATTCCAGAAATAAAGACAAATACACATGATAAAGGTTATATGATAAAGAGGAAAAGATGGAGTATTGAACAAATGATGCTGAGAAATCTAACCTGCCATTTAGGTAAAAAATAAAGCTGGTTCCATATCTTTTTCCTCACTTAAGGTAAATTCTAGATGAAATGCAAATTTAACTATTTAAAAAAATAAAATTATAAAAACACTGGAATAAAACTTGGAATATATTTTGTAATTTCAATGTGAAGAAAGTCTTCCACAAAAAGAAGTAAACTTAGAAAGTTGATTTGAAAGACTGATAAATTTGACAACCTAAAATTCAAAGAAAGTAAAAAAAAAATAGCATTATAAATAAGAGCTATGACAAACTGAGAAAAATATTTGTAATATATAAGGCAGAAAAGAGGTCAAATTCTTTTACAGATAAAGAGCTCTTACAAATCAATAAGAAAAAATTCAATATCCTAATAGAAAAAACATGGGTCGTTGTCATAAATAGGCAGTTCACAGAAAAATAAATAAAATGGCTTTCTAACACAAGAAAAACACCCTCAGCTTCCTTCAACTTCTAGCGATGGGCATTAAAACAAAAATGAGATGTTTTTCTTTATCTCACTGGCAAAGCAAGAAAAGATTCATAATGTGTGATATTGGTGAAGATATGTGGAAGAGGATACTCGTATACTTTGTATAAAGTATAAATAATATAATACACTCTATAATACACTTTATAATAATATAGAGTGTAAATTGGTGTTACCTGTGTAGAAGGCAATTTGGCAACATCTATTAGTTAAAATTCACAAGATTTTTGACCTAGTAATTCCACTTACAGGAATTTACATTATAGATACATTTTTATATCTGTGCCAACTCCTGTACACAAGAATAGTTATAGCAGCATTGTTTGTAATAGCAAAGGTAAAAATAAATATCAATTAATGAGGGGCTGGATAAATAGATTAGCTTTCAAATAAAATATTCTGCACTATTAAAAAAGACTGAGGTTGATCTATATGATTATATAATAAAATCTCCAAGTTATATCATTGGGTAAAATATCTTGAGGCAGAACAGTTTATGACATGTGTTCCCATTGGGTAAAATAATTTATGATAAATGTACACATGCAGATATATACTTACAAATATGTATAAATACACATACATACATACAAAAACATTTGTGTTCTTGTATATTTGCACACTATTTCTTTAAAACAACAACAACAACATGTAATTATTGGCTATTACCTAGGGAGATAATGCTTGAGAACTGAGAGTCTAGGGTGAGAGAGAGATTTCCTGAAAATAAACATTTTAAGATGTTTAAAAATATATTTACAATTGCTTATATAATTGAAAAATCCACCAGTTCAAAAATTCAGCAAACTAAATCAATTTGTTGCATCTTACATCCATGAAAAGTAAATTAAAAAACAGATCTTTGATATGGTGTGTTTTTTGTAAGGAAACCAACCACTTGATTGAACTGTGCTTTTTTCAACATCGTAGAAAGGTTTTCCTGCTTTTACTATGTGCCAGGCCAAGGCCGGGTGTTCAACGATACAAAACTAAACAAACAAACAAACAAAAATGTACTTGCCCTCAAGGAGCTCACCATTCAATGGGAGAAGCTCACATTCAAAGGCTCTCCTTCTGGCTTAGATAAAAAATATTTAGGAAAGGCAGTTCCTTCCAAGACCATAACAAGAGCTTAGTTCAGCAACCCTTTTCTATAGATCTCATCAGGTATCTTGGTGAATGTCAACATCTCTGAGATAGTTGATGTCATCTCCACTAAGCTCCTAGGGAAGATCTCAAAGAGACTTCTTTTAAGAGCTATTAACCATCATAGATTCTGTCCACTCAGCTTTACAGAATAATTTCAATTTCCAAAAGCATTACACTTTTTTCCACCTCTACTCCTTTGGCTGTGCTGTTCCTTCAGCTTGGAATGTTAAACTTTTGTTCTCCTTCTTCGGCCAACTCCCACGCAATGTCAAATATAGGCTCAAATCCTTCTCCAGGAAAGCCTCTCTGATTCTCTGCCACACAAATTAGGTTGAGAATATTTCCTCCATGCACCCACAGCTCTTTCCACCTTACATTCAACTATTTATTTCTCATGTTCTCATATTAAAGTACAAATTTACTTAAAGTTGTATCCCTGGTGTCCAACATAGAGTAGAAACTCAATAATTGATGAATTCAACTGTAGAGCTTTACTTTTCTCCCTTGGGTTCACCCAGCTTACCATTCTAAACTGAACTTTGTGATTGATTCCCTACATGACATACCCCCACTGAACCACTTTTCCAAAGCTAAGGCATCATACTCACTTGTCCAGTGACATCCCAGGAAAGACAAACTTGCCCAGGCAGATTCGGTAGACAGAGCTCAGGGGAATCCATTGCAACTGCACACAGCTGAGCATGATAAAGTCATATTTACAAATTAAGAGAGACTTGTCCGTGACCAGCAAAATCCTCTCCTTCTCATTGTTCCAGTGGTCTATCCTGTAGGAATTATCACAGAAAATAAGAGTTGATGTCATGGTCTTTCCAAGTTAGAGATAATGGCACTCACTGAAACATCCCTACTAACACAGAAAACAGGGAGCTTTGATCACCTCAGAAGAGGGGTTGAGGAATACCTAATGCCATCCTCTCTCTCTCAGTCCAGTTCCATGACCAAGGGAGGAGGGAAGATGGAAGACTGCAGAAAATATATGATTCCAGAGATGAGTACCCATGAAGGGATCCATGAGGGGAATGACAAGTTTGTATCATGTTGGCAGCCACCTGATTCATGTTCCTTCACATCTTCCCTGTTCACTAGAAAGCCTTCATCTTCCTCCAAGGACACCAAAACATCTATGCTTCTAACTCAATTCTTACCACAAACCTTACTCACCACACACTTGTCTTTTCTAATCCCCAAAAGGTATGTTGCCGAGTGGAGATAAAATGGAGACTAACACAGGTGCACTGATCCCCAAGCCATCACTACATCTGTTCATCCTATCATATCCTTGAACAAGTGTAGTGGTGTTCTTATGAGCCAAGGACAAAGTAGACACTAGATAAGTGTTTACTATATTGATTTGCTTTGGCCTTGAGACCCTTTCAGGGCATGCATGGAAAATTCTGACTCAACAGAATCTCCACCAGAGAAAACAAGAAGAAATCCAAACAGTGGTGTCTGGTTAGAAGGAAGTGCACACCCCGATGTTTATAGCAGCAATGTCCACAATAGCCAAACTGTGGAAAGAGCCAAGATGTCCATCGACAGATGAATGGATAAAGAAGATGTGGTATATATACACAATGGAATATTATGCAGCCATCAAAAGGAATGAGATCTTGCCATTTGCAACGACGTGGATGGAACTGGAGGGTATTATGTTGAGTGAAATAAGTCAAACAGAGAAAGACATGTATCATATGACCTCACTGATATGAGGAATTCTTAATTGCAGGAAACAAACTGAGTGTTGTTGGAATGGGGGGTGGGGTGGGAGGGATGGGGTGACTGGGTGATAGACACTGGGGAGGGTATGTGCTCTGGTAAGCTGTGAATTGTGCAAGACTGTTGAATCTCAGATCTGTACCTCTGAAACAAATAATGCAATATATGTTAAGAAAAAAAAAAAAAAGAAGGTAGCAGGAGGGGAAGAATGAAGGGGGGGAAATCGGAGGGGTAGACGAACCATGAGAGACGATGGACTCTGAAAAACAAACTGAGGGTTCTAGAGGGGAGGGGGGTGGGAGGATGGGTTAGCCTGGTGATGGGTATTGAGGAGGGCACGTTCTGCATGGAGCACTGGGTGTTATGCACAAACAATGAATCATGGAACACTACATCTAAAACTAATGATGTAATGTATGGGGATTAACATAAGAATAAATAAAAAAAAAAAAAAGAAGGAAGTGCACATGGTCTGTAAATCCTCTCACCCACAGCACTTTTGCTGTCTATCTACTATAGTCTTTAGGATATAGCACTCATGAGTTTTATTAGAATTATTTCAGTACACATTTTGTTTTCCCTAAAAGACTTGAAGAGGATGATCTGTGACTGATTCATACCTGAATCCTCACTACACAGAAACAATCTAATGTAAAGACAGAATGGGCATCCTATTCCCACCCATTCTCACAGAGTAACCACAGTGCTATTTTTAAAATACAAACAGAATGACATCACTCCCCTGTTTATTTTATTAAATAGCATCTCTTTGATCTTAGGAGCAAATCCGTTACCTATGGACTATAGCATTATCTCACAGCAGGCTAAGAACCTTAACTGTCTAAATCATAGTCAAATGCCTCATGCAAAGAGTATTTCTTCAGTTTCTGTATAAACTTGGCTCTCTATCATGCTCTCTCAAAGCATCCAAACCCATTGCTTTTTGTTAAGAAGGAATGATATGTAAAACATTTAGAAGTAAGTACCATGTGGACACTGACTGATCAGAATGGACACCATAGTACAGAGGGGAGGACAATGCCAGTCAGTATGAGCTCAGTATCTTGTATGTGTGTGTGTGTGTGTTTGCACGTGTGTGTGTGTGTGTTCCATGAAGGCAGAGACTGTGTCCGTTGGGCTACTCACTCTATCTGGTTCCTGTCAAATAGCCTACGCTAAATAAGTGTCTGTTGAGTGAATAAATGAGTGCTAATCAAAAATTTTGAAGGTTGTTGGGCTAGATGAGGGTGGGGGTGAAATCTTCCAGCTCTATAATTTACTAACTCTGTAAGATCGGATATTTGACCTGTCTTTGGCTCATATTCCTTATCTGTGAAATGGAGACAATACTAGCACTCATCTAAGTTGGGGAGAGGATTAGGGGAAATGATTCTCAATCAGTGCTCTATAAATCAGCTATCATTATCAGTGGCAGGGACCTCAGTCACAAAGGAATTTTGGGTAACCCAGATATATGCCATCCCCTAGTATAGCATAACCTAAACACAGACAGGTAAGACAAGTCAGTAGCTAAATCAGTGCAAGGAACAGTAGACGTGTGAAAGAGAGAAAAAAGATAAAAGAGAAGAAAAGAGAGAAAAGCGGAAAAGGGAAAAACAAGAAGGCTGGGATCACTGATAGAGGCCCTATTGTATGGTGGCCATGAGGTGATATAAGTATTAGTTCTACATCCCCCACAACCCTTTGAAGAAAGTCACATCTGAAGTCAGTCAACTATAATATGACAGTAGATAGTAGAATATGGTGTAGAGTCTGAGAGATCTGGTTTAAATCCTGGTTTGACTGTGTCCATCCACTCCAATAACACCGCCATACTCAACTCCTGATGCACAGAGAAAAGGAAGGAATTCTAGATAATCTGTTTAACACTCTCAGTCTTAGTCAGAAAGACACCGGGGACTCTGAAATGTCTTATCAGATATCTACATAAATTTCTCTAAATAGCTTGCATCTACTTAGCAGCAAGTTAAAAAGCTGCTGCCTAATAAACCAGACTTGGTTTTAGTCTAAAAAAACCACAGCTTTTGGTTGAATGGTTTTACTGAAAATGTCAGCACTCCATAATGAGATTTATTTTAAAAGGTAAAGGATTTGGGAAAAAAGAGAATTCTTTTTAGGAACACAGAGTGCTCTGCTGTGACACAGATTCTGCATAATTTACATGTCGGGAAAGTCTGAATTCAAGTAAACACACAGATTTATAAATAGTTTGGGGCCACATCTCTAGCTCCTGGGTGGTATATGTATTTATTTAGACTTCAATCACACCTTTTTCCCCAAATAACTCATGGAAAAAACATTGAATTTCATATTCCCAATATTAACATAATTGAAGTTGGGTTGGCAACAATATCCACAACAAATATAGGGATAGAAGTAACAGTAACATATTGTGGAGATTTACAAAGTCCTTGGATATTGATGGTCCTATTAATCCTCACAACAACCCTTTGGACTGGATGTTATTACCCTCATTTTAAAGACAAGGTAGAGAGACACAAAACCCAGCCATGGTATTGGCTTTTTTCCCAATACCATCCACCTCCAAATAGAGCGTCCTTCAGTTGGTATGAGAATGTGATAAAACCCACTTCTGGAAGGAGCTGATGTGATGATATATACCACTCCTGGGACTGTGCTCTCTGGGAAACCTTTCCCCTGAGAAAACACCTATCACTGTCCCTTTCAAACCTTGTTCCTCCTCCAGTGTTCCCAATCTTGGAAAAGAACCCTCCTTCCAGTTATGCAAGCCAGAGACTTAGGAGGGAGTCATTCTGAACTCTCCCTTTTCCTCACCTCACCTGCCAGGTCCTAAACATTTGACTCCAAAAATATTTCTCAACACCACCCACTTATCTCCATCTTGACCTTCACCACCCCGATCCAGTCTTCCCTCATCTCCTGCTTAGACTATTTCAATCACCCTCTCACTAGGTTTGGACTACTAGTCACCAAGACCCATTTTACCTACATCTACTCTTGTTTCCTCCTAACCTCTCCACCATACTGCAATGAGGGGGACCTTTTGAAAAAAACAAATCTGGCCCCCACCTCTCCACTTTGGCTTCAAACATTTCAACAGTTCCCCAGAGCTCTTCTAAGAAATGACAAAAGTTCTTCACCTGGTCTAAGATGCTGTCCACAGTCAAGCCCTACCTACTTCTTCAACCTCCTCCCAGGCCAAGACTCTGCACTCATTCTTCTTGATCTTTCAGTTTCTTGCATTTAACATGCCCACTCCTACTAAAGCAACTTTTCATATGCTGCTTCCTCCTGAGCTTCTTTACCTAACTGCTATGGTGCTGAGCTCAATTACTCCTTACTCAGGCAAGCTTTCCCAGACCTCTGTGACTACTTCTGTTCTTCCTAATGTACACTTACATAACACCACACATTTCTCCTTCATAGTATTTATCCCAGATGCAATTTTACAGTTATTTCTATGATGACCTAATTAGTGTCTGCCTCCTTTCCTGTACTATAAATGCCACAAAGACAGTCAGTTCTTCACATCATGTCTCCCAGGTTGCATGTGTCCAAAAAGTATTTCTGAAATGAATTAGTAAAGAATGAACAATCCTTGTGCTGTGCAAGCCATATGCCTTGGCTCATGCTGTTTGGGAATCCTATCCTCACGTTTACACATTGAAATACTCCCCCATAAAATAGCACAGTTTCAAAAACTAATCAGTAACATTGGGAAAATGTTCATGCCTTAAAAGTCAGAAAGAGAGGATGCAAAATGTTACTTTCAGTATACTTCCAACTTTGTAACAACAAATCCATAGATCAAAATGGTAACAGTGATTATTTCTGAGTGCTGGGATTTCAAATGACTTCCATTTCTTTTCATGCTTTTATTAGCCAGTGTTTAATTTCTTTTGGCAATGAACATATTCTACTTTTATGATAAAGAGATACTTTTTTAAAAAAAAATAATCTCACCTATCCTTCAAGTCCCCAGTTTAAATGCCATCTATTTCATGGAGACTCACCCTCACCAGTCTCCAGCCCACCCCCCCACAAA